AGATATCAAAAAAGTACTCCAGAGTGTTGTTCAGCATGGGGGTGAGTAGAAAATGAAGGCTAATCATGTTTTGGGTGTACTATTCCTTTAATATCGATTAATTCTATAGGTTTTAAAACACAATAAAAACAAAATCAGACGAAAAAGAATCAGAAAACAAAAAAAATCTAAGAAGCATCACAGCAGCCACTATCGAGGAGGACTGTCTTCTGGCTGCTTTTTTATTTAATCAACATTACATCCATCAACTGCTAACATACCACAACAGTGACTATAATGTTAATTATGTCTTACTTGACTGTTTTCAATAATACAGAGTTTTAGTTATTTTTCTATTCTAATTGCAGGGATTACATTCTTTTAGTTGTGTTCTTTAACACGATTTTTAACAGCAGACCAAGAGAGATCTATAAAAGGGCTGTATTTAATTAGTTTATTTAATTTCCAACATTTTCCTCAACAAATACACATGCTTAAAATGAGCTCAAGTACATTGCACCTCATAAGCACGTCTCGCGTCTGTGCTCCTAGGACTTTTTCCTGAATGGCTTGCCATATGACGTTACTTCCAGTCTTTGGCAGTGCATCACTGGGCAATCAACAACTGTTAAAAAGTTGCAAAACTGCACCAGAAGTTGAACCACAGTCTGGTCGGGTGTGTGTGTGCGCCGCAGGTAGTCTTTACGTATTTACAGAGAAACAGGGAAAATAATGGTGTTAAGCTACTTGAAGGAAAGTATTAGAGCCATTTAGTACATTTTGAACATTCAAAGAAGTTAGATTAGATTATTCTATGTATTTATTTAAGATGTTTTTTCAAATAACTAAATAAATAGTCCCTGGTTGTGTTTAATGAGATAGTATAGAATAGAATATACTTTACTATCCCCTTTTAAATTAAAGATGGAGACAGAAACCAGAATAGAAGTTTAAAGAAGGAAACAAACACATGCACACCTGTTTATTGGACAAATATAACAACACTGTTGCAAAGGACACTTAATACACAAGCATTAAAAGGGTCAATACCTAAATGAAGCTGTGGCTAAGCCATAAAGAGGAAATGTGAAATATGAGTTTGAACGAAAAGAAAAAACACACCTCCTGGTTTTTACAGACTGTAGCCCCTAACACACCCACTGACTGTGTGCATCCTTCCCCTCTCTACCCTGAGCAGGCCCTCACCATTTTTTTTCCTCTTCTTGGACAATGATATGGGGGACCCAGATGTTCCATTTCACTAACCAATGGTAAGGAGAGAGGGGCTGGATTGGTGTGCACTCCTGAAGCCCCTTCTTTTAAAAAGCCCCTGTCTGCAACCCACATGAGGAAGAGACACGGCGAGACTCCGCAAGGCGGGCAGCATCATCCCTACCTGATGGTCTGAAGCCTCAGCGGTGACAAATTGTTGCAGATCTGGTTGTTTGATTGCTCTTAAACTTGTATCCATGCCGAATCTGTGATCATCTGTCGTCATCAGCACAATGTTGGGATTAATTAAACTCCTGCTTCAGCTCTCTCTTTTTGCCCCAGTGGCTTTAGGTCAAGGTAAGTAAACACTGACGCTTTAGCACTTTTTATGATTCAAACGTTAAGAAGAAGACACCTAAAACACCTAAGACAAATCAAACTTTAGGTTAAGCTAAAACATGTTTCCCTTGTCTCTTTGAATAACATCAGCTGATTTATTAAATCTCAACTTTTCTCATTTAACAAAGTTTGAAATTATCTAATCAGACCTTTTTTCTCAGCATTAAACAGAGTCTAGGTTAGGACAGTAAAGACTGTGGGGATCTCCAGAAACACTTGGAAAAGTTATTTTTATTTAAATCATTGGACTATGTGGTTACGTTGATTGTTCTCCTCATTAGTCTCTAATTGCGCATGTGAATACACAAGCTGGTTCAAAGACCATGATGATCAACAACATGTGGTAATAAATGAGGGGATGAAGAAAACGTTCCTCATGCTTCACTTCAATAGTTAAAAAAAAACTATTAGTGTATCCAAACATCTGTTGTGTTATACTCAAAAAAAAAATTTGTGGTGGCTATTATTACTGTACTCCCCCCAAACAAAAACAAACAAACAAAAAAACAAACA